AATGGAATTTACTTCGAGCGTTAGTTTTCTGACTGTAGTGAAAACAATCCTTGGTGAAATATGTTGTATCGGCATACTTATCAGAAGCGAGTGGTATGCTTAAATCTAATGTAATAGCCTGAGTTATGACTGCAAAATCGTCCCTCTGGAATTCAGGATAAATAGAGATTTCCATGTCCAACTCTTGCCACCTGAAACGTAATTAAATTTTTTAATTGATACATGTATATATCTTTTGCTATGATGCATGTATATATATTTTGCTATCATTTTTGAAATAAATCAAAAATGAATTAAAAATTAAAAGATTGAAATATTCAGAGAATTTTTCAAAGAATTTATTTAATAAAAGTATTATTTGTATAGTTAAATACTTACCGTCTCATGATATTATAATATTCTGGTATAAAACTTTGATATCTAAGGCCAAACATACAAGAACATTCGATATTCGTCATAAGGTCACATGTAAAAGATGGTCTACCCTTACGACTGACAACTAAAGTTTTCATATGTTGTGGTGGAATCNAACAAAGTTTTCATATGTTGTGGCGGAATCAACGATGTCGAAGTTCGTGACAAATTTTCTTTCAATGTCGTCAAAACTTGAATTAAATCTGCTTTGTGTTTATCGAGAATTGACGAAGGTGAAGAATTCCAACATATATTGGTGCAAAAGTCGTTAACTCCGATCATTATTGATATTAACTGCAAACCAGATTGTTGTTATAAACATTTAATTGCCAGAAACTAATTACACCGGTCAATAAGGTCAATAAGGTTTTAGTGACAAAATCTACATTTTGTGTTTTCCTGTTAACTTTGTTTTTCATGTGTGATATTCAAAATATCGTAATTTTTATATANGTGATATAAAACCTGTGAACCCATCTCGAGATGTAAAAGTGACGTTAGAAAGAAAATTCTTAAACCATCTCGCGATATAATAACGATGCGAAAACGTATATTTTAAAACCACCTCACGATAAAAAGTAACTGGAGGAAAATAAAGTAGATACTTATTGTTACGCCCGTGTCTTGATGCCCGCGCCTTTAGCAACTTGAACATACAGGAGATTCTCTTAGCAACGAGTCGTAAACAAGAGATGATCAGCGTTGACTA